ACAGCTGAGTTAACCTGAGCGTTAGCATCTACAGCTGAGTTTACCTGAGTGTTAGCAGCGACGAGTCTGTAGTAGCACCCAGGCTGAAGAAGAGGGAACCATCTAGCAGACACACCTGAGAACACCAGGACCACCTGCGTGTGCACACACACAAACACACTAATCCCAGGTGCATCATGGGATCTACAAACCACACAGGTGCATTGTTCTCCTTACCTTCTCCTCCTCTCTCTTTGTCTCTCTATCTGTCATTTGGACGTTCTTTGGGTCCCGCCCCCAGCTGACCACTGGACCAATCACCGCAACTCGGATAGTGAAGTCCAGCACAAACCCCTCCCCCTCAGCACCCAACTCCACACTCATATTCCTCCGGGCCACGCCCTCCTTCTGCTCCGCCCTGAACACTATGGAAACACAGGGACGGGAGGCGCTGCCCACCAGGCATGTTGCCATGGCAACAGAGGAGGCAGAGTGGGGGAAGTCCGGCTCCTCCCTCCTCCTCTTCCTCTCTTCTCCTGCTAGCTGTTTCCTGTCACTGACATCACCTGCTGATGCCACGCCCCTCTGTCTCAGGAGAGTTACCATGGCGACAGATGGACTTAGGATGTGGAGGTGGTCCAGAGAGAACTGCAGGTAAACTCTGTCAGACACAGAAAAACAGTGTGTGTGTGTGTGTGTGTGGTCTAATCATCAACCTAACTCTTTATGTAGGAAACTGATCTTCTGCTGTGAAGCTCGGTTATTTTATTGTGTGTCTCTGAAGATCCAGAGGGTGGGGGGGGGGGTAGGAGGGATTTGTTATGTGAAATCATTTCATATTAATTGTAAACATTAATTTAATGAACTGCAAAAATTCAAGAAACATAAGTTGAACAAACGTGTGTGTGTGTGTGTGTATGTGTGTGTGTGTGTGTGTGTGTACCTGCAGTGTTTGTGTGTGATGAACTGGTCCTGGTGCAGGTGTTGACAGGAGGGGAAATCTGATTGGAGGAATCTCTCTGTCACCATGGTGAACTGATGGACACACACCAGACAACCTGCAACACACACATTTATTCAACCTCTGACCTCTGTGTGTGTATGTGTATGTGTGTGTGTGTGTGTGTGTGTGTGTATATGTGTGTGTGTGTGTTGTACCTATCCAGGCAGTGTTGAAGGCCGCCCTCTGACCTCCCTCCTCTTCCTCACTGGTCTCTGTGACGACACAGGTCACTGCTGCTGTCCCGTCTCGGAGCTGCAGACTGTGTTTATCATCAGACGTTTTAGATGGAAGCTCCAACATCCCCACCAGCAGCAGGGGGCGCTGTCTGTCAGAGTAGTAAAGTACATATTAATATTGAATATAACCATGTAGTAACACTTCA